GTTTCCGGTCCAGACGAATGCAATGAAACTAACATCGGTTGTCACTTCGATTGTCACTATAGAAATATGAAATAATGGGCAACTAGACAGCTTTTAAATCAGAACAAGGCTAAGAATAATTTGTTGAGAATGTCTAACAATGTATTTGCTTATAATGAAAGGGTTTGAAATTGATTAAGCCAAGTTTTGGATCGATTGACACTTTTCTACATAAATAAATCTGATAAATCATAGTGATATTTCTAGAGTTGAGTGTCAATCGATACATTTTATACAATTTATACACTTTGTGATTAAGTAGAACCCGTAATATACAAATACGCGCTACCTAAACACTTTTGCTTGGTACTTAATATTCTGAAAATTATTATCCCGCGACAATTGAAAGTTATATCAATGAAAATGCTATCTGTTTCAAAGTGACAACCGAGTGACAATCGAGCACGTGTTCAAACCGTTTATATTACATACATATTTTCATGTCAAATATGCACAATCTTTAAGTGGTTTTCAATAACTTACCCTTGCATTTTATTCAGCAATAACCTAGGTCGATAATTAACGAGATAGATGTGTTTTATCCCTTGCACATAGAGCAGGTTTAATCTCTCAGCATACGTCCCTCCCCACATATCACATCTGTTTATAAGCTCATTTATGATATACTGTTCAGTATGTTGGATTATATTACATTTCAAATGTATTGACCACAACAAGCACAGTATAAAAGCATTATATATGCCAGTGCAATTCAGTAAATATGTTATACTAAATGCTATACGATTTTTGCAAAACTGATATTCTAAAACACTCGGTAATTCGAAGAGGTTAAATATGCTTTTCATTGCCATTCAGACAATCAGTTTCAAAAGTCTTGGGACAGGTGCCACAAAACCTTTGAATTTCAACAAACGACAACCCCCCCCCGCCCCTGTTCAATGTTGTGTCCCATATCTCGTCGGGTTTGATGTGTTTTGGTTTAAACAACATTGATTGGGGTGGGGGGAGGGGGAGGGTAGCGGTATTGTGTGTAAAAAACTATAATGATCCACTTACAAACTAAAACTACATGTGTCCCATATGCCATAACATCATTGTACATTTCAAAAGTACAGGGAATAGAATGCTCTGCGAACGAAGTATTTCAGCTCCATTTCGTTCACAGAACATCTAATGACATTATAGAACAATTAAGTTTCATTAAAATTCTCAAAGTTAATAATTAACAGAATATGAATATAATTTGTTATGTCATATTGCATTCTTAATCACAAAGGTTTTATACGTTGTTTGTTTCTACAAATTTTGGCAGAGCACTAGTAGGTTATTTGAGAGGTTATAGTCCGTCAATAAAGATAGGTATCGCAAATGTTTTACGCTAGATATGTCACACATACTGTTAATTTATAGCATAGTATTATAACATCCGGTCACTTTCGCATGCGGGTAAGGGCTGAGTCAACTGCTAATTCGGGTACTCCGAAGGTAAAGAACGTTTGATTTTTATCACCAATAGTGAATGCGACATTTCACATCTTTCTAGAGCAGAATTTGCAGATATAATTGTCGACGCATGGGTACGAAGGAGCACTCAGTGGGTGGGAATTTCGGAGGCTAATGGAGAGGGCGGTATCATATTAATAGTATATATAGTCACTTCCACATGGCTAAAAAATTGTCCGCAAGATCAAGTTGGCGAACTATCGGAAAGCTCGAGAAGAGTAAGTTCGGCATTTAATTGTACTCAGTCAGACAATCCCAAAAATTACTATTCAGCGTATTGGTACGTGGTAAAGAATGACCCGGACTTCGTGATTTCTCCAGGGCTTATAGACCTCCCTAATGCTGACGCGTTAGCAAGTACTAGCGCGCGCGACCCGCCGAAGCGAGAAAGTTGCACAGGCTTCCAAAAATATGTAACGAAAGGGACTCGCTGTATACGGCGTTGTACGCATTATACAACACAAAGTTATTGTTATACGCTAATTATGCTAATGCGCGTTTCCGGTCCAGACGAATGCAATGAAACTAACATCGGTTGTCACTTCGATTGTCACTATAGAAATATGAAATAATGGGCAACTAGGCAGCTTTTAAATCAGAACAAGGCTAAGAATAATTTGTTGAGAATGTCTAACAATGTATTTGCTATTAATGAAAAGGTTTGAAATTGATTAAGCCAAGTTTTGGATCGATTGACACTTTTCTACATAAATAAATCTGATATATCATAGTGATATTTCTAGAGTTGAGTGTCAATCGATACATTTTATACAATTTATGTACTTGTGATTAAGTAGAACCCGTAATATATCAATCCGCGCTACCTAAACACTTTTGCTTTGTACTTAATATTCTGAAAATTATTATCCCGCGACAATTGAAAGTTATATCAATGAAAATGCTATGTGTTTCAAAGTGACAACCGAGTGACAATCGAGCACGTGTTCAAACCGTTTTATATTACATACATATTTTCATGTCAAATATGCACAATCGTTAAGTGGTTTTCGATAACTTACCCTTGCATTTTATTCAGCAATAACCTAGGTCGATAATTAACCAGATAGATGTGTTTTATCCCTTGCATATAGAGTAGGTTTAATCTCTCAGCATACGTCCCTCCCCACATATCACATCTGTTTATAAGCTCATTTATAATATACTGTTCAGTCTGTTGGATTATGTTACATTTCAAATGTATTGACCACAACAAGCACAGTATAAAAGCATTATATATGCCAGTGCAATTCAGTACATATGTTATACTAAATGCTATACGATTTTTGCAAAACTGATATTCTAAAACACTCGGTAATTCGAAGAGGTTAAATATGCTTTTCATTGCCTTTCAGACAGTCTGGGCCCCATATGCCATAACATCATTACACATCTCAAAAGTACAGGGAATAGAATGCTCTGCGAACGAAGTATTTCAGCTCCATTTCGTTCACAGAACATCTAATGACATTGTCGAACAATTAAGTTTCATTAAAATTCTCAAAGTTAATAATTAACAGAATATGAATATAATTTGTTATGTCATATTGCATTCTTAATCACAAAGGTTTTATACGTTGTTTGTTTCTACAAATTTTGGCAGAGCACTAGTAGGTTATTTGAGAGGTTATAGTCCGTCAATAAAGATAGGTATCGCAAATGTTTTACGCTAGATATGTCACACATACTGTTAATTTATAGCATAATAATATAACATCCGGTTACTTTGGCATGCGGGTAAGGGCCGAGTCAACTGCTAATTTGGGTACTCCGAAGGTAATGAACGTTTGACTTTTATCACCAATAGTGAATGTGACATTTCACATCTTTCTAGAGCAGAATTTGCAGATATAATTGTCGACGCATCGGTACGAAGGAGCACTCAGTGGGTGGGAATTTCGGAGGCTAATGGAAAGGGCGGTATCATATAGTATATATAGTCACTTCCACATGGCTAAAACGTTGTCCGCAAGATCAAGTTGGCGAGCTATCGGAAAGCTCGAGAAGAGTAAATTCAGCATTTAATTGAACTCAGTCAGACAATCCCAAAAATTACTATTCAGCGTATTCGTACATGGTAAAGAATGACCCGGACTTCGTGATTTCTCCAGGGCTTATAGACCCCCCCAATGCTGACGCGTTAGCAAGTACTAGCGCGCGCGACCCGCCGAAGCAAGAGAGTTGCACAGACTTCCAAAAATATGTAAAGAAAGGGACTCGCTGTATACGGCGTTGTACGCATTATACAACACAAAGTTAGTGTTATACGCTAATTATGCTAATAAGCGTTTCCGGTCCAGACGAATGCAATGAAACTAACATCGGTTGTCACTTCGATTGTCACTATAGAAATATGAAATAATGGGCAACTAGGCAGCTTTTAAAGCAGAACAAGTCTAAGAATAATTTGTTGAGAATGTCTAACAATGTATTTGCTATTAATGAAAGGGTTTGAAATTGATTAAGCCAAGTTTTGGATCGATTGACACTTTTCTACATAAATAAATCTGATATATCATAGTGATATTTCTAGAGTTGAGTGTCAATCGATACATTTTATACAATTTATATACTTTGCGATTAAGTAGAACCCGTAATATATCAATACGCGCTACCTAAACACTTTTGCTTAGTACTTAATATTCTCAAAATTATTATCCCGCGACAATTGAAAGTTATATCAATGAAAATGCTATGTGTTTCAAAGTGACAACCGAGTGACAATCGAGCACGTGTTCAAACCGTTTTATATTACATACATATTTTTATGTCAAATATGCACAATCTTTAAGTGGTTTTCGATAACTTACCCTTGCATTTTATTCAGCAATAACCTAGGTCGATAATTAACCAGATAGATGTGTTTTATCCCTTGCATATAGAGCAGGTTTAATCTCTCAGCATACGTCCCTCTCCACATATCACGTCTGTTTATAAGCTCATTTATAATATACTGCTCAGTCTGTTGGATTATGTTACATTTCAAATATATTGACCACAACAAGCACAGTATAAAAGCATTATATATGCCAGTGCAATTCCGTAAATATGTCATACTAAATGCTATACGATTTTCGCAAAACTGATATTCTAAAACACTCGGTAATTCAAAGAGGTTAAATATGCTTTTCATTGCCTTTCAGACAATCAGTTTCAAAAGTCTTGGGACAGATGCCACAAAACCTTTAAATTTCGACAAACGACAATCCCCCCGCCCCCTGTTCAATGTTGTGTCCCATTTCTCGTCGGGTTTGATGTGTTTTGGTTCAAACAACATTGATTGGTGTGGGGGGAGGGGGCGGGGAGCGGTATTGTGTGTAAAAAACTATAATGATCCACTTACAAGCTAAAACTACATGTGTCCCAACAACTTCTGAAAGTGATTGTAGTCGGACTTCTAGGTTATTATCGCCATTATATCCCCAACTTCTCACGAATTGCTAAGCCATTGTACGATCTCTTCAACACGGCTAATAGCACAAGGCCCACGGGCAGCAAAAATGGTCATTTGGCATCCTCCACAGACCACAAAGATCCATTGGACACAAAAACACCAAGAATCTTTGGAGAAACTGATCGGCTTTCTAACAAGCCCACCTATCATGGCTTATCCTGATTACTCAAAATCTTATGTTGTCCACACAGACGCATTAAAGGATGGTCTTGGGGCAATCCTGTACCAAAAACAAGACGGAAAGATGAGAGTCATTTCTTATGCATCAACGACACTAACTCCACCAGAAAAGAATTATCATGCACACTCTAGTAAACTCGAATTTCTTGCTCTTAAATGGGCAATAACCGAACAGTTTAAGGACTATCTCTATTATGCGCCACAATTTACGGTTTACACAAACAATAATCCTTTGACGTACGTATTGACATCAGCCAAATTAAATGCGACAGGTCTTAGAAGGATCGGTGAGCTAGCTGACTACAACTTCAATATCCGTTATCGCCCAGATAAAGCGAATGTGGACGCAGATACGCTCTCCCGAATGTCGTTGGATATGGATTTGTACATGACGTCGTGCACTGAAGAAACCACACAACAAGTTCTCCAAGCAACGATATCAGGTGTCCAAATACAAGAGAAAGCTCCTTGGATCAGTACCATAACTGATGAACCTACAGTATTTATTAAAGAGACGCAGGGAAAGCCATGCTTGAAGGTGGCTGATGCCTCCACAGCTCAGCAGAACGATCCCGTTATTCAAAGAGTTTTGCAGTTAAAAAAAAACTGCGATTGTCTTCCGCAAACAGTGAAACAAAGAGAACCGATTGCTGTGCAACAACTTCTGCATGAGTGGAGTAGACTTTTGGTGAAAAATGGATTGCTGTGCCGACGCGTTGGTGACATTGAGCAAGTGGTATGGCCACGAAAACTTCGTTATCATGTATTTACGGAATTTCATGATAACATGGGACATCTCGGTCACGAAAGAGTGTTTGATCTTGTCCGAGCTACAGTCTTCTGGCCTAGAATGCATTCAGATATTAAACATTATGTCCAAAACGTTTGTTGCTGCCTCAAACAAAATCGACCTGCAACCACACAGCGTGAACCTCTCCATCCAATTGAAACAACATCCTCATGTCAACTGGTGTCCATTGATTTCCTCCATCTGGAAAAAAGTAAAGGAGGGTACGAATACATCCTAGTTATAATGGACCATTTCACAAGGTTTGCTCAAGCGTACCCAACAAGAAACAAGTCGGCAAAAACAGGGGCACAAAAAGTATACAATGATTTCATCCTTCGATTCGGCTATCCACAAACAATCCACCACGACCAAGGTGGAGAGTTTGAAAACAAGCTCTTTTATCAACTCGACCAACTTTGCGGTATTACCCACTCCAGAACGACCCCCTACCACTCACAAGGGAATGGGCAAGTGGAACGTTTTAATCGCACCCTTCTTGGTATGCTCCGAACCCTTCCAGAGACCTACAAATCTCGATGGTCGGATCACTTGAACCATAGACAATCCAGAAGACACACTGTTAATTTCAGGGTGTTAAAATAACACCTCGGGTGGTGTTAGATTAACATCAACTGGTGGTGTTAAACAAAGGTGTTATTTTAGCACCCTTTTTTGGTGCTAATTTAACACGACATAAATAAAAATATTTTGCAAAGTGTTAATTTAACACTCAAATTGTTTAACACCACTTTAGAGGTGTTAAAATAACACCCACTTAAGGACAGGTGGTGTTAAAATAACACCGGTTTCTGGTGCTAAATTCTTGGTGTTAAAATAACACCATAAGTGGTGTTAAGAATTTGTATTCCCCAGTGTTAAATTAGCACTGTTTGTGGAGTGAGAACATGGGTGTTAAAATAACACCTTTTTGGTGGTGTTAAATTAGCACGCAGCACGAGTGTTAAAATAGCACCTTTTAGGTGGTGTTAAATTAGCACTGAGCACGGGTGTTAAAATAGCACCTTTTTGGTGGTGTTAAAACTGTTTGTGCAGTTAGAATAACATATATTCTTAAACTAAAACACTTTTACAGTATAACACGGTCTATAAACACACGTTTTGAGCCTGGTCTACCGTCACAGGCTAGGGCTGGCCGATTACAGGTATTTCGCCAAATTAATTAATTGGCAAATATTTATCGGAATATTATTTACTGTTATGCACATATCAACGGCCTGCCCGGGGGGTACACCCCCGGGATAACCGGGGGGAAACGAGGGGGAATTTGGTATTTTAGCCGTGTATTCTGCCCGTGAACCCCGGGGAAATTACAAACTTCGCAATAATAGGACGACGGGGGGAGGGGAAGTAGGGGACTTTGACATGACAATTTTGAATTTTATAAATGAAGTGAACAATTTGTGCGAACTCAAAATCGCAGGCTCACGGAGAAAAATATCGATCGCCAACTTATTATTTATGATATTTTGTAGTGGTCTTGCTAAAATTTGAATAAATAAATACAGAATACATGAGTGCCATTGTGATACCCCAGTTTGTATGATAATTTCAGGGTGTTAGCCAGAAGAAAAAAACCCCGTTTTGTCCGTTTAACGTAAATTGGGAAAAATTTTTTTGACCGATCAAAGTCCTTGTGTAGGAATAAATAGTGTTTTTTCCAACGTGTTTCTTCTTAGATGCAAACAACAGTGGCTTGGTTTTCTCTATTTCATTTCCGGTGAATGACTACGGATGCATACCGATGCAGGCACTTTGTTTTGTACATTTCATTTCAGTGAATACACACCCAATATGAATGAAACGCGATACATTTTGAGAAAATAGTTAATGGAAAAAGTAAATAAAACGTTCTTTGATATAATAATATAAAATCAAATGCAATGCACTTTCTCATCAGAAAAAATGAAAATCTTCCAGTAGACCCAGTTGGGAAAGCCCCTTAACTACTTCAATTGGGAAGAGTCCGTCAAACGGACAGTATATGGGCTAGCTAACACCCTGAATTTTTAATTGTTTGTATGCTATTTATATTATGAACTACTTTATTCTAAGCCCCAGGGGGAGGGCAGTTTGACTTACACATTTCCCGGGGGAGGGAGGGGGAATTAATGCATTAGAATCATGTTTTTTCAAAGTCCCGGGGTGTCCCGGGGGTGTACCCCCAGGGCAGGCCGTTGATATGTGCATTACAAGTATTGCAATATAAGTATTATTATTAATACACAACGAAATATACAATAAGACAACAAAGTAAAAGAGCGGAAGTGTGCGGGTTTTAGTGTTTTGACTGTAAATAAAAATCGTCCATCGTCCAGTCCATCGTCCAGGTTTTAGCACATGCCTTTCAGTAATGCTGTGCAAATTTTTAATGATTTGCATTACAGCCAATTGCAGTTGAGCTTGCAGCTTGCATTTTGAACGCGTTGTTATATCGTTGAAAAGTATGCGTTCATTCCTTAGAAACACGCCGTTGCTAGGGGCGTAACGTGAACTTTTGGCGGGCATTGTTGAACTTCTGAACGGCGTGCAAACAAACGTATAACGAGTTAAATATATTGTAAAAACGCTGCTTAAGCCTGCGACGGAACAGTAAGGTATTTTTAGAATGCCTGCAGTCAAATTAGAACTCCCTGGTCGGTTTTGTGACAAAATCTAATTTAATTCGTCAACGCCAAGAATAGAAAAACATGTTTACGCCGTTACAATGCCCGCCAAAAGTTCACGTTACGCCCCTAGCAACGGCGTGTTTCCAAGGAATAAACGCATACTTTTCAACGATGCAAAACGCGTTTAAAATGCAAGCTGCAAGCTCAACTGCAATTGGCTGTATTTACACCCGTTTTCAAAATTACGCGACCAAGGACGAAAATGCTAGAGTTGACATGTCAGTTTTATGTCATTCGGTCACGAAGTTTAAACTTTGAGTTTTGCGGTTCCTTGTCGATGTATATGCTTTGTATGCTTTATATGAACAGGCTTACAATGATTTTCAAGATATTTTAGTGAGAACTATTGCAAAATTTAAGCACAAACAAAATCATAACATCACCGTTATAGTCTAGCGCGCGTGTTTTATACTGACAGCTAGATTCCGGGATAAATTGTTATTTTTCAAACTTTAAAAGTTATTCACGGCACATATTTCTGTTATGATGGTTTTTATTGTGCTTTAGTTTGTATATCTAAGTTATCTAACTCATTTTTGTTCAGTTTTGGTATTAAATACGGTTTAAAATGTCTTTTGAAAGTTTGTTTACGTTTGCTATTTTTAGCAGTTTTTGTGACATAAAACTGACATTTGAAGTAAGAGTATTTTTCTGGGAGGTCGCGTAATTTTGAAAACGGGTGTAATATTCAATGTATTGTCTTTACTCGATTTAGATGCAGGTTTATGTACAATGTTGAAAGATTCAACTTTCAACCAACGAAAGTAGTTTAATAGCGTAAAACAGTCAAAGTCGAAATGGCATAAACTATAAAGGAAAAATAGAGGAAAGCACGAAGAATATTGTCTAACAAAGTAGCGGTTCAGTAAGGCCAGTAAGCGGGCCCCCCATCGGAAATTATATGACAAAATAAAGTACGCATTCTACGGTACAAATAAACGCCATTTTTCAAACAGTTAGAAACATTGCAACAGTGCAATACTAGCCAATATTCAAAGCACATTTAAATTCAGAGTATAGTCTCAGCACAAAAGTAATAAGTTGAAATGTACAAGTAGCGGGGGGCGCCAACGTGCATTCCCGATTCGGTCTGCAATCATATTAATTCAAGGAGCAAAAATGCACTACAAGCGACGCTTTAAAACATAAGAAACTATAAAATAAATGGTTTACTTACTGTATTTTGTAAACGTTCAAGAAAAATGCGCTGTAATACCAATTTCGTCGCTTAAAACGCGAATAAAAGTACTCACAATAACAGTGATCAAGTGAGCAATCGATTGTCAGTTAGAATCAACCACGTGTGACAGATTTGAATCCGTTATTAAAATATTCATAAACACCGCTTACACCACGGGCACGTGTATATATATGTATATATATATACATATATATATACATATATATATACATATATATATACATATATATCTCTTCTGTGTCACGGGTGTTTCGCTCTGGGTGTTTCGAAAACAAAGACCTACGAAAATGAGGACCGAAGACCTAAGATGGGTCTTCGGCCTTCGTAATTACGAAAACGAAGACCCATCTTCGTTTTCGTATTACGAAAACGAAGACCATAAAATATTCATTTATAGCTACGTAATTTTCCAGAGGTAATTTTCGTGAAAATAAGCGTAAAAATGTCGCGAAAAATTTCCGATAAATTGTGGAAATCACTAGAAACGTAAACCACTCATGTGACAAACATCAGACTGGTAAGAAATAGCTAAATAATTTAGCAATATTCCATATATATATATATGCATTTGCTGTACTATTGTCAATGTCTGCATGGGCAAATCAGTTTGAATCAGTAATACCAACAGTGTGACTAGATTTTAATTACTTTTGGTAACATTTCACGATTTTTCTGACTTTTTTGGTACGCTATGCGCCTATGTTCTTAGGAAGTGCCCTAACGAGAGGCAGCAACCCCCTGAAAACATATTGAAATTTAATCTTCCATTTCGCGACACTTTTGCCGACTCTTCCACAGTCCCTAACACTGTTTCTAACGCAAAGGACCATGAGAATGCCCCAAGGCGTTTTGTTCCCATCAATCAGCGCGCGTTGGGTAATTCAACGCGCGTTAGGTAAGCGACTGGGGACGAGTCAGACACTTTTATGCTTATTTTCGCGAAAACAATGTAAATGAATATTTTAGGGTCTTCGTAAAGATGGGTCTTCGTTTTCGTAATTACGAAGACCGAAGACCCATCTTAGGTCTTCGGTCTTCGTTTTCGTAGGTCTTCGTTTTCGAAACACCCCTTACACCACGGTTAATTATTAACCGTGCTTACACGTGATTGTCACTCATCTGACAATTATTTACAGTCATCTTCAGAATGCCACGTTTTTTAAAAACCAACTACCTATATCTATAAAACTCACTACAAAACGTGGTGGCATTAATAGTCGAAACATAGAGAATGACAATGTAAACAACTTGCGTGTGTCAATTGTGAGTGTCGAGTGTCAATTGCTTCTGATAGTTTGTGTTTAATTCACTGTAAAAACTCTATGGCAACCGTAATTTTTAGACAGTGGCATTGTGTAAAAGTATTTAATAATTAGTATAAAAACTTTCCATCACTAAAACAATCTCGTACTATGCCACTAAATCCTCTGAAATACAAGCACATGCAACTAAATCGCTCAAATAAGCCGCCTTCCACGTAATAGCCTGCGTGGCAGACGGTCAGCCCACCGCGGGACACCTAAAAACGGGCGAGGCGAATAACCAACAAGCTGTTTCATTGTCGAAGTATTCCGGATTTTCGGAACACTAATGGAATGGAACAGAAGACAGTCACATATGACTGTTCTGAACTGTTCTGATTACCCCGATTTTCGAGTATATATAACTTATTCATAAAAACGCACAAGTTGTTTATACAAGTCTGCAAACAAGTTGTTACAAAGTTTGTTCACAAGCTGTTAGCTGTCAGCCTGTCGACACGTTGTGTTGGCACTACTTTTCCCAGTTGTTGGAACAAGCTGTTAACAACTTGTAACAAGCTTGATGGAATTATCAGACTTGTTTCAAGGTTGTTCTAACAAATCTGATACAGTCACGATATACCAAAAGGCATGTTGTAAAAGACGGACTGGACTAGGAAAACGCGGACTCCGTATTTTCCATATTTTTCTCTGACGTCAGACTCCGTGTTTTCCATATTTTTCTCTGACGTCAGACTCCGTATTTTCCATATTTTTTTCTGACGTCAGACTCCGTGTTTTCCATATTTTTCTCTGACGTCAGACTCCGTGTTTTCCATATTTTTCTCTGACGTCAGACTCCGTGTTTTCCATATTTTCTCTGACGTCAGACTCCGTGTTTTCCATATTTACGGCGGACTCCGTGTTTTCCATATGACTCCGTGTTTTCCATATTTTTCTTTCACGTCAGGCTCCGTGTTTTCCATATTTTAAGACTCCAGGACTCCGTCTTTTCCATCTTACCTTTCTTGATGTGTTGTTGTCTGCAGTCCCTCCTTTCCTTTCAAGGAGGGACTTCCTCGCAGTCTAATATACTAATCACGCAATATTGAGCGTCTGCCACACAAGCTATCCTCCGTATTACTAATGGCGTTACCATGCACGTTTCATGTTCCGCTTACCAGCCAATCTCATACAAATACAATACCAAACAATCTCGTATCCAATTGGTACGAGATTGGTCGGCATATACAGCATCAACCTCGTACCCAGAGGCTATACTTTCTCTCACACTCTGTTGCCACGGCCACTTGCTCTCCAATTCGGAGTTTTGACTGCGCATATGCATATATGAAAGTATTCAAATGAACGTTCAATCATTACTCAAAGAACAATTAAGCTTCTGCGCGATTGACTCGCAAATATATTAGAAAGTGATATTAATACTTTCTTTATTCTGCTTTACACAGTGGGCAAAACGTGGCCGGAACTAAAAAGGACAGTTTAGATTTCCTCTTCTGAAAAGGGGGGTGAGATTTATTTAGTTGACGGATTAAGGAGGCTTGATACAAATTTAAACGTATCACCCTAAGATAGTTCAGTTTATCTGTCCAACATCAATTGCGTACAAATATTACAAACTCTTTTGGTGTAAGTCGTATATATGGACTAAAACAGCTAGGTATATTGTTTTTTAGAATGATTTATTAGAACATGTAATGTTTAGTAGTTTTTCATTTTGTGTAGCTCTCTATTTGGTAAGTATTGCCTAAGTCATTGTATTTTATTATCATTTATACAATGTAATTGTACAATGTAATTGATTCAATACTATAATCTGATAATTCAACTTGACGGCAAGAAGGGAACACAAGAAATAATATATCATTGGTCAAGGCTTATTTATATTTTTAGTGTCTGCAAGCAAAATGCATAGCTTCAAAATGTGCCTGCAAAAATGAATCATTTTTAACGTTTCGGGAGCTAAATTTTGTAGAATATGTTGGGAGTTAAATATTTTAAAATGTACATACCTGCGCAAATTCGAAAGGTGCCTGCGAGCGACGCTCGTGCGCCATTTTACATATACACTTTCCGAATTTCCTGCTTGGCAATTGTGTGGAAACACGACGCCGGGAGGGCGGATATCAATACGGAAAAATGACTGGATATCAATATGGAAAAACTTTTTATATTTTTTTTTAATAATCAGTAGCACAAAGAAACATAAAGAAAGAAATTTTCCGTGTTGACATTGAGTTATGCCAACACGGCTGTTAGCCAATCAGCGATCAGAATTTACAAATGCTATATTATAATATCTTTTGTTTATAAAGTTGATGTTGGCTTTTTATCTGCACGTATGCGAACTATAGACAGTTACTGTAGCACACTACAGTAAATTTACTTGTTCAATGTTAAAGTACAGTATATACGAAAATATGGCTCTATAACAACCTCGACATGTTTACGTATTTAACCATGATATTTAACTAAATCATTCTCATTATAGTTTGTCGCGAGCTCACAAATGAATTACATCGTTTCAAGAAACGACACGCGCTAACATGTTACCAGTATAGGAGTTCCCCTAATCGCTATTCGAAAAGCAGAAAATGTATGGTCAAGTAAATTTTTTAGGGTGGTGCTGGACTTATCTAGAGAGGTGCTAGGCACCGCTTTGTAAAGACATCCGCCCATGGAAAGCTCTACGTTCAAAAAAGTGCTATTCATAGAATTGATATTTACTTCATCGATATTATTACGAATGTGATCATGACAAGCATTTTTTAATCATTGGCGAAAAAATCATTTTGAAAAGTTTAAAAAAGCAGCCTAAAATAAATGTCAAGATTTAATACAAACATGCAGCTTTAACATCAAATCATCATTAGTAAAATCAATCAATTATATATTAAAGATATATTACAGTAACATCGTCGGTCCCTACCTATATATGAACTGGCTTTGTGATCGGTTGATTATGAGAACTATAGAAATTATATTTCTAAAGAACGAATCATAAACACTGGTCACTTTTGTGATAGAAAGCCAATTACAAAACGTCTTCATATTAGTTTAAAGATAAAGAGCAGAGCCCAGCAAATAACTTTAAAGCCAAACATAATAACATGGGATCTTCTTATATCCGTGAAAGCCTATTAATTTCTCAACTTAACCCTGTCCTTAATGCTAATATTAGATCTAGCCCTGCGCACATCCATCGTTACTTAACCCTGTCCTTAATGCTAATATTAGATCTAGCCCTGCGCACATCCAATCTAAATTTATAATAACATCATTATGTAATAATTCTTAAGTTCTATAATCTCAACAGATAATTTGTAAATACTAATATCATGTGCATAATAAATCTTTCTTTCTTTCTTTCTTTCTTTCTGAGTTATTTTAGTTATGTAATATTAACCTTAACTATATATACTAACCATGCACTTAACATTAGGCTAATCTTCACTTATTAACTAGTCACTGATAAGTTGTTTTCCTTTCTTTCTATTCATTTGTTCTTTCAAACTATGTATAACCGGTTTGTAATATTAAACCATTATTTTGTAAATATATATACCATACCCTGTAAATTCGAGATTGCTCTGAAGATGTTGTATTGTAAACGACGAAACGTTAGCTAATATTTTTTTATTACTTTTATTATGTTTGGATTTAAAGTTATTTGCTGGGCTCTGCTCTTTATCTTTAAACTAAGATTTCCGCCTGGTGTATTAATTGCTACAGTGTTCATATTAGGTAGGTATTTAGCGACTATAACCCAGTCTCCTCTTTAACTTTGAAAACTAATTATATATAGTTCACTTATCTTGTATTAATGCAGTATTATCAGCGCAAAATTGATCAATTTCAATCACGACATCGCTATGTCTGGCATGACCAGCCTGAGCGGGTTGAGGTGCCTGAACATCAGGTTTACGATCTGATGCGAGTTGTGGGTTGCGGGCCAAGGTAAGGGCGAGAAACCACCTGGCCCGGGCCTGAGCTGAAAATGTCCATTTTCGTACCCTGTTGATTCCTATGATGTAATAACCATATATGCTATGAAGGGAGGACAATTTTAACAGAAAGGGGGGGGGGGGGCTGGTATATTTTTCACTTTAATAAAAAACATTTAAGGTAAATACGTACCTAATGTTTGCACGTTTCGTGGATTGTTTTCTGTAACAAAAGTGATCACTGTCAACGAATTGAACTTTAAAAAGATGATTTCTATCATTTATTCTTATAATAATAATATAAAGATTTGCTGAGGCGCACACGTTACGATTCACCATTGGCTTCATTTTTTGTATCAATGATCATGCACGTCGCGATTTTAGGCTGACTGATAGGAGGGTTACCATAGCAAGTGCATGCCATACATTGGGTAATATTGGGAAGTGCTGTCTATTAATGTGAATCGAAACATGCCGAACAGTGCCGTCTTGTATTGTCAGTTTTTTATAGACTGCCAAAAAATTCTGGGACTAGCTAATATAAAAGGTTGATTTTAGCAGTAATAGGTGCAGGAATGTGGTCGCATTCATGAATGTTTTGACACGGAAACAAGACACTTTTTTTGGGGGGGGGGGGCGAAAAGAGGCATCTGCGGTTTTGGTAATAAATTTATAAAATTCTGCAATTTAGAAATTCGTACTCTCAATGAATCAACACTTACGCGTTTCATCGACCAGTATTTGACAGAAAACTCGAAGGACTGGGTTTCTATAAGCTGTTTCCACGTGAAGATAACAGATGTACGCATTGAAACCTTTAAAAAAAGTTACTTATATAGATATAGTACAAACCATATATATACTCTCATAATTGGTGTGTTAGTATAGGCATACGGAGGCTGATGCTTTCCGGGGGAAGGAGCAGTTGGATGTAAAATATTCTGGATCTGCCTTGTAGTTTTGGTGCTATCAGAAAACCAGAGGGTCCTGAAGGGGGTGGGTGGTCTAGATTCCATTTTCCCAGCCCAAATTTTCTCTAAATCCCAATGGACCATTTGCATTATAGACTAAATTTTGATCTAGACAAAAATTTCATCACAGCTTGACAGGGCATCACAAAATCAGTAATATTCCAAAGTTTCGCTGCAAAATGTTGTAAAATGCGGATATTATAGTCATGCGAAGTTTGCCGTTTTTCAGTCTTTTTCTATTACGCACGGGAAATTGACAGCCCAATCGGGTGTTGGGGCATCAATTTCCCGTTTGTAATACAAAATGACTGAAAATTGCAAATTTCGCAAAGCTATATCATCCGCATTTTACAACATTTCGCAACGAAACTTTGGAATATTACTAATTTTGTGATGCTCTTTCAAGCTGTGATGAAATTTTTGTCTAGATCAAAATTTAGTCTATAATAATGCAAATGGTCCATTCCCAGCTCTTTTTCAGATCAAATCCCACTCCCACTGTGAAATTGAAAGAAAACTCAGAGCAGGCGGCTCATCTATGTAACGACTTTTAAACACAATTCTGCGTTCAATTGCCCTCTTTACTCACTTTACTCTTTAGAACTAGTTTTGCCGAGAAAAAAAGTATGTGACTGAATGACTTCAATAGCAGAAAAATGACCTCATGCATTGAGCCATAAGTCGATTAAATTAAGTTTTCCTGGACTTTTTTTAGACAAACTCTCTACAAAAATTGCTCTGTAGCTGTTCGTAAAGTTATTTCACTCTGAAATGTCAAACTATATACGACTGTCTTTATAATGGTATTTGGGTTTTCCCATTTTTGTGTCTTTCATTCCCAGCAACCCAAATCTCATTTTCCCAATCCAAAACTACGCAAATCCCAGTTTCCTTTTACCCCTTCAGGATCCTTAAATCAGTCTCAACTTAACGTTAACATCACAACTCTACGCGCGAAAAATTCAATGGCGATGCTTATATGCTTAGAAGTCCAGGTTTTGCAGTTTTAAGTTTGAAAAAAAAACTTAACTGAATTTAGCTGTATATCGAAACTGCATGTGTTACACATATCTCTTTGACATGGTCTCGACTCTGGCACATAAACAGAAGCTAAGTATAATAACACTGCTATCCAATGAATCAGTGATCGGATTGTTCCATTGTCACAGAATAGATGCTAGACCAGAAGTGTCACTCCTATGTGTTTTGGCTTGGGAAAAACGTCCGAAATTTTTACGTGCTATGACGCCATCCGGGAATGCACACGGCACTTTGTACCTATGTTTGTACCCATGAAAAACTTCCGTGTGCACTCCAGGATGGCGTCATATGATGGCGTATTTGGCACGTCAGCACGTAAAATTTCGCACGAAATATCGTCTGAGTCACACTCACTTGTGTAATATTTTGAATATCAAGCTGTTACCCAGGACGTTTTTGCTGTTAGTGGATGTAAAATACTTAGAACTATCCAGGAAACCAGGTTTGAATCTTTAAAGTTGAAGACTTTCGATAAAAAAATGCTTTTTCTTGCTGATTTTCGCTCAAAAACAAACTTTTGACTGAATTTCCCGCTCCTAGAAACTCTCCCCAGTCCTTTTGAGAGTTAATTTATTGCTCGCTGAGCTTGCGAGAGGCGCCATCTTGGCTTCGGGCAAGTATGGGCATGTTTACCTGCATGCAGTTAGCGTTCCAGTGGTCACACTTCTAGTCTAGTATCTTTTCTGTGCCATTGTCTTTTCATTGTTTTGAATTATCCATATCGGTCATGAATTCAAAATATCGGTATTTTTGTTGCCAATATTATTGGTATTTGTATTATAACTTTATAAAATATATTTTAAATTTAAAAATATTTTGGATTTCAATTTATTGTAACACAACTATGTGACCAGAATGTATCGATATAAATTCAACATAAAGTCATATTCAAAGATGTTATCAATGTATATGGTAAGTGTTAATGCATGACGGATGACGCCACAACCCAATAGGTCCTTGGCAAAAATGGTATAAACTATTGTAGGTCAAAACAATGATTGATTGGATGGCATGGAGAACATTTGGATTTTCAAAACTATAGTTATACACCGATATGGAAATTTATTTTATTATTATTATTTTGGCATGGAGAACATTTGGATTTTCAAAACTATAGTTATACACGGATATGGAAATTTATTTTATTATTATTATTACTATCATCAAAACCCTCTGGCAAATAATTGAATAACAGGGTAATAAAGTACATCAATTTAGGTTACGATAAAATAGCTTAATTAAAATGTCTATATAAAGGTAAAAAATTAAATTGTATACTATTATCTTTACATATTTATTAATTTATATTTAATTTATATTTACTTTAATTTATAATATAATTTATATTTACATATTTATTCATTTACCGATATTCCTATAACCGATACTCAATGGAGTATTCCGATATTCTATTTCACTTCTGTCAATTGGATTTAGAAAATTCGTCACAACTATATTAATTAAAGTTGAGTACCTCGATCAAGCCGTTGAAAACCATCAGGCATGACACTATGATCGACTCTTGGCAACATCAGAGCGCCAACGGCCATTGCCTTCAGAATCCGTAATATGGCGGAGAAGAAACCCATGGGAAGTCCAATGAAAAACCAAAAATACGACAACACCATGTATACATTTCTGGAGGAACAAATCAAACTTTACTAAGAGATTGTTCGTATCGTTTCACTTTTTGCAAGTGAGATTCGATTTCCACAATATGCTGATTATACATCAGTTTCCTCCTGTAATAACACAGGATCAATGTAGGATGGTCCTTACTGGACGTCTAGGAAAAACAGTTTAGAACTGGTGAAGTTATTAGGTATAAGGTAGTTTAGTTTAAGTTTCCTCCGGTAACAACAATGAACCAATAGTTCCAACCAACAGTATAACGTTAGTTTAGAACCAGACCAGTATGACTTTGCTGGACCTCTAGGGAGAACAGTTTAATAAACTGATACAACTATCAAATATAAAAGTTTTGGATCTTTCTGAAGTAGCACTCAACCAGTTTGGCATGATCGTTAGGGAAAACAGATCAGAAGTGTTCAAGTGATAAAGCCATCCAATACAACGTTTAGCTTAGCATCACTCCGAAACTGACAGTGGCACAGGACCAATATGGTATGATCCTTACTGGACCTCTAAGGGAAAGAGTTTTGACTCTTAGGTTTAACTATAAAGTTACTTTAGAATTCCACCTGAAGTAACATTCAATTCAATTCAATGGACCTTTCCCCTTATAACTAAAATTTCGATGTAGACAAAAATTTCATCACAGCTTGAAAGAGCATCACAAAATTAGTAATATTCCATAATATAGCCTTGCGAAGTTTGCCGTTTTTCAGTCATTTTGTATTACAAACGGGAAATTGACATCCGATTCGGGTGTTGGGGCTGCAATTTCCCGTTTGTAATGCAAAATGACTGAAAATTGCAAACTTTGAAAGGCTCTATTTTCCTCATTTTACAACATTTCGCAACGAAACTTTGGAATATTACTAATTTTGTGATGCTCTTTCAAGCTGTGATGAAACATTTGTCTAGACTTGCCTAGATCAAAATTTTTGTTATAAGGGGAAAGGTCTATTCAATTCAATTTAGTGTGACACTCTAGAGAGAACTGATAATTGTTTCAAATTCACATTACAACACATCGTTTAAAAGCGAATCATGTGTACGTACACAAACCAAACATACAGTATTAAATATTTGAAATATCTACCCATTTTTATTTAATGAAATTAGACACACCTGTTATTTATAGATATAACGTCTTTAGAGTAACTGTTATCTCGGAATATCAGCGTAATTATGCGCAAGGACAACCAAGAAAAAATAGCCACAATCAAGTAAACACTAAAATATTGAACAGAATTATTAGCGATGGGAGCCGCCATTTCAGGAAGAAAATGACTTCCTAACATAGCTGGACTGAAAATATACTGTACCAACAAACGAAAATGAAAAACGAGAAGAAAAACGAGAATGAATATATAGGGATGCAAGGATAGTGCAAAGTTTCGAATTGAGAAAGACAATGCAAGTGTATGGGGGCAGAAAGTGGAAAACGCGGAGTCTCATTAAAAAAAATCTAGGAAAAATAAACTGTTTTGAAAGACTCCGTATTCCGCAATAATTGGCTTATTTTTGTTAAGGGACCAATCAGAGGCTTTGTTTACATACGGGCTTGTGAATTTCAGTATGAACTTTTGAACTTCACAATGAAGTGCGGAACGAAGTTCGCAACATTCACGGAAAAGTTACATGAAATCAACTGTATAACACCGTCTCGCTCCTTTTTGTTGTCTGAATTTTCCGTCACACATTAGTAACCAAATCCAATTTTTAAAAATTGGAAGGAGGTGTACTTTAACAGCTCTTCGTTGCGATTTGAACAAAAAATTACAGAAAAAAGCTCATCGTACATATCAACGTATCACTTACCTTACGTACATAATACTGAATATCACTTACCCTCCTCCTTTCACGTAGTTCATAACCAAATTTTGAACGGGATCAAGTGTCAATAAGTAAAGAACAAAAAAGGTCACAGATAACAGCGACAACAGCAATATGTAGCCTAGGACGAAAAATGCGGAAGAAACTTGCTAAACTTTAAAAATGGGGTAAGAAGGGGAGGGTTGTCAACTTCAAGGTGACCATTTATTATATAGTAGAGTGAGATACTGAGAAATACACAGTGACATATTTTCCATGTCTTCACTAGCGACGATATCGATCACGTGACTTTTAGTATTTATACAATTTTTTGCTTGGGACTATATAATAAACAGAACATTACACGGTGGCTTGAAGATATGACTTTTATCTTCTCGTGTCAAAAACAATATTTTACTCACTCGCTGCGCTCGGTCGCAAAATATTGTTTTCACCACTCGAAGATAAAAATCATATCTTCGCGCCGCCGTGTAATATCCTCTATATATTTCACTCAACGTAGGGATTTGCCGTATAATCTGGGCAAATATGAAGACTTCAGGCATCACGCTCGATAGAATTTCCGTTTGAAATTTCCATCTCCAAAACCCTTCAACTGTTAGTTCTATCGAGAAAGATACCCAAATTTTCAATAGTTACCCATACCTTAAACTGGCATCACCCATTATATATACATATACAAGAACGGTGGATAATGCTTGTCAACTGGACTCAGTTGATTAGAGCGCTGAACCAAAGTCGCACGGCAGCAGGTTCGATTCCTACCAGACGACCTATAGTTGCATTTTTCACATTTCTACGGAACAGCGGTCGCCACACAATATTATATGCAACAGAGAACAATTTACAGTCCTGGAAAACATTTTCTCTAAATATCGTTTTAAACAATTTCTCAGATCCTAATGCAAAAAAACAAGTGAAAATATTTTCAGTTTGTGGTTCTAATAAAAGTTCCAATACTATTCTATAATAAATTTTTACCGAATACATACCGCTATATGCACATCCCTGCAGGAACAAGAAATACTTACCCCACAAAAAGTAGCCGATCTGATAACTATGGCATCTTAGTCCTTTTCCCTAACGAAGTGGAATACACCAAAGTGGTTATTTTGAAGTGGTTACTGTATAATTAATCTATACAGGGGCTAAGTTAGGTCTAAACATTAGGGCGGTGTGGGTTCGTTTTGCCTAACGAAAGAAAGTTGATGTGGATCCCCGGAAGTAATACCATGGATAATAAAATAAGGGGATAGGACTCTAGCTGACGTAAGCAAAAACAACCTAGTTGCAATCTGTGACGTCACGCGTATTGCAAAGTTCTCGGCATTTTTGTTGTTTCGCTATACTTTCCGCTTTAAAAGAGTAATATTGAACTATTGAAGCATATACTGGTCTAATTGTTTTAAAAACTGCCTAAGCCACGACAAAGTACTCAAGGTAAATGTTTTTCGTCTTTGTTTTGTATTGTTTTACATTTGTAGCTACGAAATTGGCGTCCCCAATTTTAACGAAATTTGGGATGCCTTTTTCACTGTTTAGTGCTTGAAATATTTGCTAAAGTTGACTGCATGGGAATACTAAATATTTCATCGGAGAACGGCGTAGTTATATTAATTTGCTCTTTGACTAAAATGTTTAGCTGTATAACAGCTAATGCTATAAAACATGCCGTTTTTGAGAATTTCGTTTGCAACTAGGTTTCAACATCCAATCACGCCATCAGCCCATTGAAAACATTAGGTCACGTCAGCTAGTTTCCTATCCATTTATTTTATTATCCATGGTAATACAAAGACACAAGTATCGAGTGCCAAAGACACGAGACATCTTGGGAGGGGGTTAGGGTGGGGAGGGGATGCGGTAAAAGGGTATGCAAAAAGTGACTAATTAAACTATCTATCTATCTATCTATCTATCTATCTATCTATCTATCTATCTATCTATCTATCTATCTATCTATCTATCTATCTATCTATCTATCTATCTATCTATCTATCTATCTATCTATCTATCTATCTAACTATCTATCTATCTATCTATTTATCTATCTATCTATCTATCTATCTATCTATCTATCTATCTATCTATCTATCTATCTATCTATCTATCTATCTATCTATCTATCTATCTATCTATCTATCTATCTATCTATCTATCTATCTATCTATCTATCTATCTATCTATCTATGTTCCTCCCTTGAATGTTACTTAAGGGCGAGAGTGAGTGAGCTTTTAGAACACAGACGTAAGTCAAGTCGCAAGTAGGGAGTCACCCATGCATGACAATTATATATTAAACTAGGAGTTACTATCGCAAGGGAAGTGCTGCCTTACGACCCAAAGTCTTGGGGATTGATTATACCAAAAAACTTTATTTATTTAAATTGCCTTATACTATAAATACACTGTATGTATGAATTTATTTTGTTTGATAATGCAATAATTATTATATACTGTAAACTGTACTTCGGATTTTCTTATTTACACATGTGATTGTTGGTACCAATGTTTTCAACCGTCTTCACTTGTCAAAACGTCTAGAAGAACACAATTGGAAAGAACAAACATACTGTCTTTTAACGTGATATGATTAGTTTGTTGCAAGTTTTCACATTCTTTCCAAGTAATAATAGTCTACTGTATTTTCCAATTGGTAAACAAGACAGTGCCATTAATTGTTTTTTGTCCAATATGCAGATGTTTCGTATTTATTTAGCACGTACAGGTAGTGTCCATTGTTGGCCATGATATTGTCCAATAACTTGTTAGGTTACTATACATATAAAGGTATGTATAATATATTGACACAGTAGAGATACAATGTTCCTGACATCCATATGGTAGATTGGAAACAAGTACAGTTATTTAATAATACATGGCAGATTCCATATTCCATTGCATTAGATGCATTGTAATATATCCAATCTTGCAAATCAGCATTCTTGTTTTAACAGAAATGTATTTTCAGTGTATTTCCATTTTCATGAGATGAACAGTAATATATCCATATTATATTTTGGCTGTAACAACGATTTGGTTTCATCCAGCAGTTAAAATGGCACCATTCACATCCGTCCGATTTGAAAAACTATAGAAAAAAATAATTGGTAGCATGAGATATTAATGTGGAAACATACTGGCACATAACTGAGTGAAAATAAAAGTAGGGCAGGGGGAGGGGTTAAACAAACAAACAAAAACTTACCCTTCTTCTGTCTTGCAAATCATAATATTTTCATACATCAGTGATAACAAGGAGTAAATTAGTTATTATATAATAAATTAAATTATTTAAAAGGGTATATAGTCAAAGTACATACCAAACTATAACTGGGATCCATATACGAAATCCCTCTCTTATTCAAACTCAATAGTTTGTTGTTCTAAATGCACTGCTAGTGGCCTGTGCTAACTGATCTAGCCTGTTTTCTTCTTCAAGCCTATATTGTAAGTTGGCTGATGATTTCAAGCTTGTTAATCGTTCATACGTCATTGGTTCAATGACACAAGATGCAAGTGATTTTACTCTGCTAATAGCAACATAGGAAACTCCAGCAGTTCTTTCAGATTTGCCAATATCTATCCATGCTTTTGGAAGTGTGTCTCTCATGGAAACCTATTTCTGTCTGTGATGTAACAGTGATTGGATATATTGGGATACACAATGGTTGGTTTTCATTAAAAACAGGTCCTCTATAGTTTTCAAATTCTACTATTACCGCAATAGGTAAGTCAGGTGGTTGATGGTTGTTCTGATAGATAATATCAACAACTGTTCCAGTAGCCCCATTGCAGAGGCCAACACTTGACCACAAATTCATGGTTAACATGACCCTAGCAACTTTTGCTAGAAACACAACAGGTTCTAACCCAAACATATCATCTGAGCTATCTGAGGATATCTTTTTGGCCAATGCTGATGAATGGCGAGCATTAATATGAGCAATTGGATGCTCAAGTTTTGTCAGCTGCTCATGGTTGTAATTACCAACTTGTTCATTACTACAAAAGAGTCTAGTGGAATCTTCAAAATCACATAAATTAGTGACATTTGATGGTTGATGTGTCAGAAGTAACTTCCAGTCATCAACGTACTGTTGAGTCACCTTTGCGAAGTCGCAACAACAAATCTCTGAACTGTACTTCATCCTTTAAAGTGATGCCAGTTAGTTTAAATGGTTCACGTAAAGTGCGTGATACTGCAAGTATTGATGAGGGTGAATCATGCACCGATTATTCACTTCTTGATGTG